AATTCCAGCGTCGGGCCAAGGTTGGCCTCCATCCGATCGAAAAAATCACCCGTTCAAATCGCCATTCGAATCTCAAATCTCTTGTCCATCTGTGCCTCTATCTCCGCGTCTTTCTATAGCTTGGCTAATCGCTTCTTCTCCTTCTTCTCACGTGCTTCTTTCTCTTCACGGATACGCTGCTGTTCTTCCTCCGCTTCCTTACATAGTCTCTCTTCTTCAGCTTTCTTCGCCTTCTCACACCGAACGAACTCTGAAACCGAGGCCAAGCTTCGGTTCCATTCTTCAATCTGCCGCTGCAGAGCTTCAGCTTCATCATTCTTCGCTTTTGAGACAGCTATTGGAGATGTCGACCTTCCCCTGCAGGTGTCGTGCGACGTCGACGGTCGAGCCCTGTTGGGGCATTGGTTTGCGTAATGTCCACGCTCGTCACAGCTGAAGCATCTTGGTGGAGATCTACGGTACGGTCTCTCATGGCTTCTATATCCACCACGTTCTTCACTGCTTGATTGATGCTCCCTCCGCTCGTAATCCCTCCGTTCACTCATTTTGAACAGTAGCACGCCTCAACAAATCAAGAAGAACAACAACAACAACACTGTAACGTAACAGCACCCGCACTCCCCTCGATAACTTCTATCCAAGAGTGTTCACATGTGCAGTCAATAGTTGATATCGACACATAACGAAGGTACAAAACCTCAAGTCTCCAACATCCGAAGACGTATTCAACATGCAAAGTCGTAACTCACAATTACAGATAGGAAGAGTTCATGTACAGAAAGCGTCCCCGACGCGTTTCGGCGACCGTCGTCGCCTCATCAGGGGGTTTCCACCACGTACCATGCACTAGCCATAACAGTCCATCCAACCCACTTCCGTTCGCTCTACACACCAGCGTTCCGGACAACTAGTGTCTATTACGACCGTTTGCCTGAAGAGTTTCCCAACTCTACTTACCGTTCTATATACCTATGGAAAGTCCAGTATCTCACTTACAGAGTACCAGTATCGAGAGAGTTCCAAAAGCAAGAAAACACGCGAAGCGACAGATGAACTACCGTCATATTCCAGGTAGACCCACTTAGAAGAATCTAACCTGCTGTCGCAAAACCCCCCTACGTACACAGTTCGAATCACTCAGCGTATAGTTCAAAAACATAGCTACACAGCAAAAGGACAAATGCAGACTAACCTCTAAGGCACCGGTTCGATCCTGGAGATGTGTAACGAAAACAAAATTCAGTCTGCAAATCGATTGTTAACCACTGCATAGGGTCCCGCAGCCTACGGTCTACAGGCGTAGACAGGCCCAACATCGGGCTTTACGTGTTCAGGAGACT